TGTGTACGTGCGTGCGTGCGCGTGCGTTTGGATGTGTATGTACATGACTACGTATGTGTGTGAGCGTGTGTGTACCTGAGCTCTCGTTTGACCTCCTCGTAGTCCACCTGGGTCTGTAGCCGCTCCTCCAGCACTCGGAAGGCAGAGTTCTTGGCCTGCAGCTCTTCCTCCAGTCTCGCCACCTGCAATATGGGACGACACATGCGGTTTTTTAAAAGTGGTTTACGGCGCTCACAACTACATCAGGTCATATAAGCGCGCGAGACACACTAAACATTTTCAGTCGGTAGGAAATTTTGAATTTCGCCCAGGTGGCGGCCGAAGCCTACTCTTTTTTATTTTAGACCACCAAGGGAACTTTAACGTGCACACAGGACCTCCGACATTTTTCGCCTTTCTCCGAGAAGGGTAAGTGTAGATCTTTCCTACCAGAAGATCAGGGGTGCAGCTGAAAGACAGCAGTAAGGAGGAGCCAAGGAGTAGCAGTAGATTGAACTAAATTAGAATTACAAGATATATTGTAGTTAGAGAAAACTGAGAGTAAAAAAACAACAACAACAACAACAAAAACACAAAGGACTATGCAGTGTGAATAAGGTTAGAGTTCAAAAAAAAAAAATAGACACCGAATTCCTTTCTTTGATTTGATTAGATATATGAAGAAGAAAAAAACAAGAAATGCCTCAGACACGTTGTAGTTTTAGTATGGTTACAGTGGAAGAAGAATAAATAATAGACGCGTAGTAATTACAGGAAATACCCCGCATAATATGTTAATTGGTCATCTGGGCGCCCAACGGGTGAACGAGAAGAGATGACTGGCTTGTTTGTTTGAAAAAAAAAAAAAAGAATTAAAAACATCCTGCTGCTGTACTAACCAATGAGCACTTTCCTTTTCCTCCTTCATGTGTACGTTGTGTGTGTTTTATTTATCTTTTAAAAAAATATTTTCAAAACAATATAATGGCACTGTGTAAGACAATCATCTGTCTAAGACAACCACCTGTCTAAGACATCACCTGTCTAAGACGACCATCCGTCTAAGACATCCACCAGTCTACGACTACTACCTGTCTAAGACGATCATCTGTCTAAGACATCCACCTGTCTAAGACGCCCACTTTTTCCTGGACAACAATGTGTCTTACACAGGGTGGCCTGCTGTTTGAACAGGTAGGACAGTGAGTGACTTACCTGAGCGGACGTGGACTCCCTCAGTTTCCCCAGAGACGCCTGAAGTCTCTGTACGTCCTCCACCAGCTGGGCAATCTGAGGGCGACAACAACAAGAACAGGATAAGTTTGGGGCTGGATGGGGGGGTTCGGTTTTTTTCCTTCTTTTTCTTTTTTGGTTGCTGTTGTTTTTTTTAT